GTGGGTTGAAGTCTCCATCAACATTTCTTTAGAAAAGGAGGAGGACCCCCGGCCTCTGCATCTGGGCGATGCATACGGTCACTTTATTAATTATTCTCACAAGACCTTACAAAATCATACAACAGTAAGACTAAAGCCACCGTCTAAGCAACAACTCGCTACTCCTATCCAATTGATGAAGGGGCGCTGATAGTCTGGGCCTAATACCAAACAGACATCACAACCAAACCTAAACATCTAAGACCTGAGGTCCCAACCAGGACGCCTGCCAGGTATGGGGCACCTACCAGTCCGACACACTCCTCAACCAGGACGCCTGCCGGGTATGAGGCCGCCGCAGCCACCTGCCACCAATTCATCTTGAGTGCTATACTGCTGCACCACCTTGCCTGGCTTCTCTGCCATCGACGCCACCACGACGCTTGATAACGTCACCCTCCTGCTCGAGTCCCTTACCACACATCGGGCGCCGAGCCTCCACTGCGCCACGCCGCCGAGAAACGCCATCATTAATGTGCGGGAAGAAACACCACTCCACCAATTATTCCGTCCACTGGTCCCTCGAGCCCGTGTACACCTCCAAGAATGACGCCACAAGAGGGAAACGACACAATAATGCCGCTGTCATCCGATCTACCGATCTAGGGTTTCCCCCAGAGGTAGCAGATAGTGGCCTGAAACATCTCAACAGCGATGCCTTCAACAAGGGAACGACACCGAATAGTGCCGCCATCGCCGGCCTCGGCAGCAGCCGTGAGCAGTTCTTCACCCAGATCTGTTCCAATGGCCTCCATCAAGCGTCTTGTGCACGGATCGTCCACCATCGCGGCCGCCGCTGCTGCCTGACCGGCCATGGCACCACCATGATACCTATAGACGGTGCCACCACCAGCCCGCGTGCTGAGCCGCAGCACCGCGCCATACCAGATCCGGCGAACCGCACGCCGGCCGAGCCCGAATCTCGCCCCCACCATCCACGCCAGCCGCGGTCCGCGAGGACCCAGATCGGGCCCGCACGTGCGGCCATGACCGCGACCGCACGCCCGTGAAGAAGCTCCCATCATGGTGACACCGCGTTGCGCGCCAGCGACCACCGCTGCCACGATCGAGGACGCCGCTGTGAAGACGAGCTCCGGACAGTCACCAGCCGCCTGAGATCTTCCCATCAAAACAGCAGCCGACGAGGAGCACGAGCCCCGCCGCCGCCGGCTCCGCGCAGGCTTTGCCTGCCGGAGGCCACTGGCGACGGCGACGGGGTGAATGGGATGGGTGGGGCGAGGTACGATAGCACCACCTATCGGAAGAACCACGCCAAAAATCACCATGCCCCATTGTGTTTGCTTTCTACAAACCCCTCCTTTACTTACATGTGCAATGTCTACTTCCCGCTACTATACTCTTAGAATTGCATGTGTAGGATGTTGCTTGACCTACCATAATTGCTACA